TCGAGTCTTGGAACTTTTGACCCAAGCGTGCTTCTTATTCTTATAGATGTATACCGCTAGAGTTTTTCCGAGGTATAGTTTCTACATACCAGCCACGCTTAATGTCAGTAAAGTCATTCAAACGAGTTCAATTGGGCAAATTAGGTGGTGCTTACGCCGTTCTTGATCAACACTACAAACTTTCCCATTTCAATTGGATTGTGGGCAGTGATTCCACCGCCTGTGAGATCGGCATGAGAGGAGGAGTCGAGATGAGTTGAGGTGTTTTGAAAACGCTGCAGAAGATTCAGCTTCACATTGATGCTCCATCGATGGATTCGTGAAAGACCGGTAGGCGTAGCTTCAGCCTTCTTCATTACAACAGCAACAAGCTTGCTACACTCGCTGGGCTTCAAAAGCTCTCCTGGTGACTTGCGTAAGTCGTCTACATTGATCTTTGCCCGCTCGTTTCCCCGATGCCTTTGGACCTGACTGTCGTGGGCAACTCGTAGCTGCAGTAATTTGGACTTTTCCAGATTGATGCCCTCTTGATTGTTCAAGATCAATGTGTTGAGTTTGTGATCAATTCCAGCTAAGTCGCTCAAGGTACCTTCGCTACGGGCTTCAGATGAGCCGCCCTCATTCGGATTTAGGATTGTTGACAAAGACATGGCTACATTTTTGAATATTACTTCATCAATATCTTCCGGTATGGCAGACAGTAGCACATCAGTCTGCTGTTGTTCATCTATAGCCTCTGCTGCTGTGGTCACAGCTTCTTCAAGAGGGTCTTCTGGACCATTTTTATACACAACATCGTACTTTTCAGCCATGCAAGTTGAGACATCTAGAAGATGGTGTACGTCAGAAAGTGAATAAAGAAGTTCTTCGCACGTGATAGACCTAGACTTACCTTCTGAAACTTGGTTTTCAGAGATCACAATAGGAGTATCAACAATCGAAGCATCGTGCATTCCAACAAAAGCAGCCAAACTTATGGCTCGCTTCTTGGCAACATTCAAGTCGTATTCAATCTCTTCATCAGTTGGAAAGTAACGGAGCCGATCAATGTGCTCTGAATTGGGTTCGTCTGAGAAAGCAAATTCGTATCCTGTAATTGAAATGTGATTAGTAATGGTTTTTAATTGGAATTTAAAGAGAGTCTTACCAGCATGTAAGTGTTCTGATTTCGATATCTTCACTATTCCACTCATGACACTTTTGACCACTGCGTGGATCTTTGGCACCATCTGTCTAGCATCGAGAACAGTAAAGTTTGGCGATAACACACGCATCCATCCAAATACATGTTCAATTGGCTCGGTTCCGTGTTTCCAGGGCATTAGAGGCACATCAGGGTAGTATTTTCGATGCGAAATGATGAGGCCAAGTAAGCGACTGGCCATGGTTGAAAATATTTTCAAGCTTTGGGGAGAGATGCAATTTGCTGATAGACTCATCAGTGAGTCTGGTTCGTCTTGTCGTCTGATGAGGTAGTTTCTCCAAATACGAAGAAAGAACTCGGCGGTCCAGCTTGAACGAACACGTTGCCGATGTCCTATGCTTTGATTGAGCCAGGCGTCTACCATCTCTCCGAAGACAAAGAGATACACTGCAAGTCCGGTACACTCTTCACGGTTAAGAGCAGCTTTGAGTGTTTTGGCAGAGAACATGCAATATGCACGACCATCGTCCTGTCGGTCACTATCAAATACATCACGCTTGTAAAGCGGACTAGCTGACTCTTCAAGTAAAACAGCCAACTGTTGAATGTCAACATGGAATCGACCAAAGGATATCACGCGAGCACCTGAAAGTGGTTGATTGGCTGCCGTCTTCCGAGCGTGTTTCGGATCTTGTATCATTACAATCGGCCTGGCTTCTTGGCCAAAAAGAGGGACTTTGATATACACCTCTAGTGCTTCATTTGTATACGTAAGATAGCGTGTTCTAGAATCAATGAGTTGCTCTTGAGCTGCCAACTCTGTAGCTGCCCCGTCCGAGCCGAGTGAGAGAAGGTGAATGCCAGCTTCTTGACATTTTTCAATGAAATCGAGATTCTGAGCAGCCAGGTCTTTGGCTTTATCCTGGCTGCGACTGGCTATTATCGCAACTACATATGTTGACATATTTGGTAAGGGTATCTGAATTGTATAAGCTCGGATCTGATCACAATTGAAAGTGTGTAAGTTTACTCAAAAAGAAATAGTAAAGGAAACATAAGGAAGGTGTTGTACAAACTTTGGAACAAAGTTGATTATTGGTGACTGCTGACTTCACCAAGCGCTCGATTTCATCACCATTTTCGAAGGGGATATCACCGCCTTGTGCTCCTACCAAGTAGCCATTGTAATGCCGCATTGCCTTTACACAAACTGTCTCGTCAGTTGCAGCAGCAACTGGGCCGGAATACTCAAGCTCAGCTAAGATAGTAGCAAGTCTCTTGAAGTTGTTTGCGTGTAGGCCATCTTCAAGATGCATACCCTGGACTTTTCGGATTTGTCGCATGCTACGTGCCCCACGGCCTGCAAAGTTGTCGTTGAAAAGCCTAAGAGCTCGAGGACTGATGGCTGCCAAGGTGGTGAGGAAGTTGTCGAAGTAAAAATCAAATCGACGACCACGCATTGACTTTCCGTTTGATTCACGTTCAGCTCGCACACCAACTGCCATCATTAGACCACGGATGACCTCTTTATCCTTGAACAACCCAGCTTTTCCATACACACCAATTGCTTTCCAGAATTCTTCATCGCCTTTTTTAGATGTTTTCTCCAATGATGTCTGAAGGACTTGTAGCTCAGCATGTTTCATTAGAACTGCTTGGAATTGATCACCTGTCATGAATACCTTTGCAATAAACTTGATGTTATCTTCAGTCGCGTATGGTACATTGATGGCTGTGATCAGGCTTCGATCGTGTTTCAAACCCTCGCAGTCGTCACAGAGAGGATACAAAGTTTTGGCAGTGGTCATTACTGTTCGAGTACATCTAGGAGAGTGTATTGATTCCTGAGCCCCATGTCGCTTGATGATCCAGGTTGCCTGGGACTCTAGAGCGGCGTGGAATTGTTTGCGCTGCTCGTCCGATAGCGAGACTTCATGAGTAGTTTTGAAAAGCTGGAAACAAACTTTCCATCGCTTCACCCCGTGGTAAGGCGTAGGTGAGTGCTTGATACAGTTCTCAATACGAAGCTTGGCGGTGGGTCGTTTCCAGGTATCATCGTTTAGACCAGCACAGGGCTTCGTTACAGCATTCTTTTTAACTGTTGTCGTAGTCACCCAAGATGTGAGGCTGGCATTGGCACAAATCGTGTTCGTCTTCTTCTTACATTTGTCTGGGAGGTAGAAAACACACACATCAGTTTACATTTGAATTCTCACTTGCTCGAAAAACAGGAAGACATACCGTTGGCCCAGTGGTCTACAGCAGCTTCCACACGCCCCTTTCTCAACACAATCTTGCTTCCACAATGACAATAGAGTGTCTTTTGTGAAACAGTGTCATTTGTCTTGCAAAGAGTACAAGGAGCATTTGGCTTAGACAAGGGACAGGATTTGATGACATCCTTTTGAGGCGTCTTACCGCAGCCCTTCTTGGTTTGTTTTTTGGTTTCATCCTTTTTAGATTCATCTTCGATAATGATAATTTCTTCATTGTTTTTGGATTCATCTTCAATAACAATAATTTTTTCATTCTTATCGGATTCATCCTTTTCACATTCATCCTTGTCTGATCCGTCTTCTATGACAATGACTTCAAGTGTATCACGAGATGTTCCTGCTGCTGAATCTAAAGTTCGTTTGACCATTTTTGAGGATAGATACGAGAGCAAAAACGATAATCTGAAGAAAAACGAAGCAAGACAAGTTCAAGGGGAACCAACAGGAATATAGTCTTATACATGAATAGGAACTATTGACTACAACCTAAGTACAATTCGTAGTCTAAAATCGTACAATTTCAAATTTGAAAAGAGAACTGCTGAGAAATGACAGCTTTGACAACCATCAGTGCCAGGCCAGCTACTGTCGAATACATAAGTACTGTCGAGCCAGATCAAGGCTCGAGCTAGCTCGAGCTGGCTTGCCTGCTCGGCTCTGTACTAGTCTGTACTATCACCACTTGACACCTTGGCAAGTCGGAACCCCAAAATCCGACCTTTTTGGTAAGTATCCTGCTTGGAAAATTCCCAAAATCCGACCTTTTTCGTCAGTACCCTACTGACAAAAATCAGTCGAAATCCGACCTTTTTCGTCAGTACCATCTGCAGGGGTATTCCAGGGTCCTGGCAAGGTACCAAACGATTTTACAAGTCGTATCAGTCCATTACAAATTGCGGGTAGATCCCAAACATTAGGGGGGCTCAAGTCAAAAAAATTTACTACTTTTATCGTAAAAAACTTTTCCCAATTTCATAAAATTTACGCAAAATTTTATGAATTTGGGAAATGTTATACGACATCCCAAATTTTTTTAAGCAGCAAATTTGCGTAAATTTACTGCTCAGAAGCAGATCTGAAAGAAATTTTTTGGTCCTTTTTTACGAATTGGGAAAAGTTTTTACAGCACGGTACCGTAAAAAACTTTCCCCGATTTTTTAAGAAAAGGCGGCAAATATTTTGACTTGAGCCCCCTTATTCTCGAATCTCAACCAACAGGCACCAGAACAGACCAAATCACAGGAAAACACTCGCATTCTCGGTTCAAAATTTGATTTCTACGTAGCGCAAGCCTCATGCGCAACAGGCACAAATGTAATCTCTATCCAGGAGAAACGAAAGTGCGTGGGCTGGACCAAACTTAACAAAGTCCAATCGTGCCTCGGATTTTTTTGACAACGAGTTGTCGCCGAGGCACGAGGGACTTACTGTAATGAATGGAACGTTTATGGAACGTTTCAGGAATAGGGGGTTTCAAGTTCGTTTGTTTTTTGCGTAAAATTTATAAATTCAGACAAGTTGTCCGTAAAAAAAATTCTCCATAAAACCAACGTATTTTTAATTCGGGACACCTAAAAAGGTGTCCCGCTTTAAAAATTTTACGCATATTTTACAACAACAGGCAAGTTGTTGTAGCATAAAAATACGTAAAAATCTGCAACTTGAAACCCCCTAATAGCTAGGCGCATGATCCGTATTCTGTTATGCATAATACGTGATGTGTGCGTTTTGGGTTTTGGAAGACCTATTTTTGTTTTCTAATATTTATTATATACAGTAGTTTTAAAAAACCTTGTCACAAATTTTTTCTTGAGCTAGGGGCCCAAGCTCAGCGGTTAAGCGTTTTTCATTAAAAGTGTGCCAAAGCAAAAAAAAAAAAGTGAACTGGATGTGCGCGAGTATGCATACTCGCAAGAAATATCCGAAGCCCCAAATGCCAAGTGGGCTGTGACTGATTTGAAAGCTGGATCATCCGTAATCCACTGGCACCATCCAATCCACCATTACCACCACATTCCCCTTCTTTCAGCACAACACACTGAGTCAAGGAACACTTGTAAGTTCAAACCTGATTCACAGCCTTCTGATCAATTCTTTTGACATATGATTGTTTCAGTCCAATGGAAAACAACAGTATTGGATTTGACTGCGCGGTTGAATACCACGTCTATTGTGATGCGGGAAACGAGAAAAAGCATGTCTGGAAGCCTTTTAGCAATCAACGAGCCTTCACTGTCCGAGTCATTCCCGACGTGACAACCTTGGATGCATTCACCACCCTTGTTACTGATGCTAGCAACACTGATTGACCAGGTGTGGGGACCATGATCCTGGCTGATCGAAAATCTCCCTCACATCCTTTGAACATCAAATGGCTGGGCTCTATTGCTAAGGTTCCGGAATATTTGAAGAGCCTTGATAAGCCTCTTAATACCGAGACTACCTTTCAGGATTGGGCTCGGAAGGCTCACCAATTTTCTGGAAAGCGAGCACTGCTTAACATCAAGATGGAGAAGCCGGTTTCTGAGGCTGCTCAAATGGCGTCAGTAAGTGATTGCATGGTCTTCAGTCTCTTTGCTACTCTAGCTTACATTTGTTGTAATGAAGAGTGAAGTTTTTGAAAGGGCTTCTCGCAAGATCCGCACCAGTGATGGACAACCGGTCGAAAGGGTTAGTTTATTGTTTCAAGTCGGCAGATGCTATTGATGACTGAAACCTTTTCTTTCTTTCTTTCACTACAGGTCCATGGAGATCAAGACGATGTCCATGCACACGATGCCTTGGTATCCAAGTTACTCAAGCAAGGCAAGCTTGACCCTAGGATCAATCGACAAATCCACATTTATTGGATCCCTAAAGATAACTTCAAACACTATGTCTTGCTTACCAGGGGTCACGCAATCAAATGGGCCAAGGCAATAGTGAATCCGTTTCATTCTTTACCTTTGATGACAGACTGCTGAAACTTTTTGGTCTGCTTTAGCGTGATCCTGATATCCATGGAATATGTCCTCTCAACCCTCCTCGCGAGTTGTGGACGGCTGTGACGGCTGATCCACCTCCAAGCCGCACTCCAAAGCACCGTCACGGGTATGTTGATGGTCTTTCTGAGATCAGAAACAAACAACTTCGTCCAGCTCCAGCATGTTCATTGTTGGATCGTCCGACTGCTAAGATGGAGGAGTACATTGATTTTCTCAAGATTGATGATCCCGAAGTCTTGAAAGTGCTCACTCGTGAGAAGATCACCGATTATCACCAATTCAGCTCAGGATCGATAACCAAGGATGATCTTAAAAGTCTCGATCCATGTTTTCGCTTGGGAGTTATCAGCAAACTTTTAGATAATGTTAAGCACTTTGACATGGTCCTGAAGTCAAGGACTGAATGAAGTTTTTGGTTTTCTCACTCAACTCAAAGCTTTTGTACCACAATCGAATGCTTTTTTTTGTAATGAACTATCCTTTCAATCTCTCTACTCAATTGTTCAATTTGTTTGTTTCTCTCTCGATTTTGGTTCTTTCTGTAGTGACAGAGACTCGGATGAGTACTCTGCGTCTTGCTCGATGTCCAAACTCCAATGGTATTGCATAAGAATGAGATGCTAACCTGTAGTGACAGAGACTCGGATGAGTACTCTGCGTCTCGCTCGATGTCCAAACTCCAATGGTGGAGAGCCGGAACATCAAGGAGCGATACAACTATAAGAGTGAGTCCCTAAACCTAAGCCCCGAGCTTTGTCGTAGGCGTGGCCCCGCTCTCTATGTCTAGCCCTATGGCCTCCGGCCATAACACCCCCCCCCACGACAAGACAAAGCATATCCCTCCAACAAATGAAAACAGAAAAAAAACACACACACATAAAACGCAAACAACAAACAAAAAATTAAACACCACAAAACAAAGAAACATAACATAAAAATCTACTTCCTCCCCATGCACACCCCCAGATGACTACGTGCCTCCTTGAAATTTAATGGACCAAGAGCTTTTCTGAAAGTATCTGCTAGTTGTTCACCACTGGGTACCCATTCCAGATCCACCTTTTTCTTGTAAAGTTGTTCGTTGATATAGTAGAACTCCCTTTCCGTATGTCTTGTACGTTTATTGGCGGAGTTGTTCTTGGAAACGTGAATTGATGATTTGTTGTCGCCAAGAATTAAGGGTATCGGCAGTTTCGGTAAGATATCTTGCACTAGAGACTGTAACCAGATTGTATCCCTACATGCTGCTCCGACAGCCATAAACTCCGCATGGCAAGTCGAAGTCGCTACGCATCCTTGACGTCGGGAGACCCAAGCAATAGGCACACCGTACAGCCTGGTGACATGCCCATACGTCGATCGGGCACACTCTCCTCCCCAGTTGGCATCAACGAAGGTTTCAACTTCTCGTCGATATGTGGTCCGTCTGGGGTTGATGTCGAGTCCCATGTTTGCCGTATCTCGAACATAACGTAGGAGGTGTCTTACCGCGTTCCAGTGTTCTTTCTGTGGTGATTTGGAATACCGCGCTAGAAAGTTGACAGGGAAAGCTAGGTCCGGGCGTGTCCCTACTGCTAGATAGCTTATGGCTCCCACGATACTCAAATACCTCCCGCTATCAGATGGTAATTGGTCCGTACATGTCGTCAGCAACAAGTTAGGCGGAACAGGGGTCGTTGCTGAGAATGAAGACAAGAGATCGTGGTTGTCCTTGATGATCTTGTTGGCCAAAGTCTTCTGTGAGAGCACGAAATGATTTTGTGAAACTCGGTCAATATTGACTCCTACAATGTCTGTCAGTTCATTTTCCCATTTGATCTCAATCTGTGATTTCAACTCCTTCTCTACCTCCTTCAACAACTCATCTGAATCACTAGCTACAAAACCATCGTCCACGTGCAACCAGATCAGGCACATGTGCCCCTTGCGTCGTAAGACATAGAAACTAGGATCGAATTGACTCGGTTGAAAACCTAAAGCACACAATTTCTCTTCCATAAACTTCCACCAACAACGAGCACCTTGTTTAGTTCCGTACAAGGCTTTCAGTAGCTTCATAACACGATTCATTTTGAAGCCAGGGGGAGATTTTACCCATACATCGTGATCTATCGGGCTGTTTAAGTAAGCTGCTATGACATCAAACCCACATACCCGTAAACCATAGTACGCTGCGACAACCAAAGCAACCCGCAGAGCGGCAAAAGTAGCTGTTGGTGCAAAAGTTTCTGTAAAATCGATGCCTTCAACCTGTGAGTAGCCTTTCGCAACGAGTCGCGCCTTGAAACGCCCGTCTCGTTTGATGGTAAACACCCATTTCAGATCCGTAAGGTGTTGACCTGGCGGGGGTTCACTCACTTCCCACACAGACATGTCAGTAAAGCGCTTCAGTTCCTCAAGGCAGGCTGCTTTCCACTTTTCAGCTTCCGGTAGCCTCATCGCCTCAGTGTAAGATTTGGGAATGATTCCATATGGCGACGTTTGGTTTTCTACCATAAGGGCAAGAGCGTCTTGTTCTTCAACTGCCTGTTCGCTATCAAAACTACCAAGCCGTAGAGCATTTAAAACATACTTTAGGCTTCCTTTCGACTTCTCTACGTCAGATAGAGCGTCGTTCGGTTGTGGTTGTTCTGTGGGTGGGGGTTGGGGCAAAGGAGGCCCATCAGACAAAAAACGTGCTAGAGAGGAGTCCACCGTGGTGGTGATTTTGGTGTCAGGATCCCAAAAAGTCCAGCCTTTCTTTCCACGAGGATAGCCGACCATGAGCATTTTCTTTCCACGTACATCCAACTTACGACGAATCTCAGAGGGAATGTGTACGATGGCTGGTTCACCGAATGTTCTTAGGTAGTCAAGATGAGGCTTCTGACCGAACATCATTTCATACGGTGTCATCAGCCCAGTAGCGGCATTGGGGATACGGTTGTGGATATGGGACGCAGCAGTGTGTGCATACGCCCACATATCTTCATCGAACTTTGCAGCATGCAACATCGTCCGACCCATATCCGAGATTGTATGTATTGATCTTTCCGCAATTCCGTTCTGGTGATGCTCATATCGGTTTGTCTGATGGTTAATGATTCCGCGTGCTGCACACCACGCGTTCATTGCCTTCGAGGTATATTCACCGGCTCCGTCACTTCGAAGCTTTTTGACTTTGAAGCCGGTTTGACGCTCCAGGCGTTCCACAAAGTCATAAAACATCTGTGGTACCTGATCACGTTTTGCTACACATATTGATTCTGTGTAAGTCGTGGCGACGTCCCTGAAGTTGACCATGTAGCGTGCACCATTAGCCGATGGTGGGAAAGGCCCAGCTACATCGCTACAAATCAAATCCAGGGGTTTAAGTCGAGTACCAGAAGACAAGAGCGTAATAGAACGTAAGCTCTTGCTCATGAGACAGTCTTCACACGTAAATGGCGTCTTATCAATCTTGTCAGGGAGACCCGAGGCTATACCATGCTTAAGTATCCTTTGGATATTACGCATGCTGGTATGCCCAAAACGGCAATGCCATTTCAGTGCCTTGTTGATCGCAGGAGATGCTCCGACAGCGGACGCATTTGATGATAGTTCAATCGGAGCAGGGTGCACAATTTGTGACTTCTGTGGTAGGTTGAGACATTCAGTTGCCGAGGCATGCATTACAGGAATGGTCCACCTCCTGTCAGTTAGGACAGAGGTTACAGTTCCACCACACGGGAATACAAGCTTCATCTTTCCATCCTTAGCCTCCCATGATCCACCTGATTGAATAAGTTGAGGGATCGAGATGAGTGTACTGCTGGCCAGGGGTGAATAAAAGGTGTCCGGTACGGCAATTGATCTTCCGTCGTCTCCTTTGACGTGCATCGTCCCCGCATGTGTGACGTAAGCCTTAGGTGCTTTGGTCGCCACCCTTATTGGTATCGGCCTAGGAAGGACACGGACATCAGTTAAGCATGTGAGTTTACCAGTCACCGTATGGGTGGCACCAGTATCACTCACACCTTCGTCCGGGTTGTCCCACACCTCAGTGAGCGTACCCTCAGACGCCCAGATGCCATCAGGCAACGGCCCATCATCATCCTCTACCCCTGTCGCATCCACAGTGAAAGCTGCCCCGTTCGCATCGATAAGGTTGAGACGAAAGGAACGAGGCGGAACGGGTTCACGACTAGTGGATGGTTGTGGCTGATGATGTTTTGGGGGGTACTTGGTCGGGCAGGTATCTGACCAATGGCCGGTATTGGAGCACACGAAACAGATGGAGTCCTTGTAAAGGGATGGATGAAACTTCGACACAACGTTGGGAGCTGGTGGAACGTATTTCGGCGTGACTTGAGAACCGACTCGAGGTGTCAATTGGTATGTTCTGGTTGGGGTATTAAGATAACGAGGTTGTGATGGTGGTGTATGAGCGAATACCCCTCTACCTCTCGAAGAAGTTGCTGATCTATAAGATACACCAGTATTACCAGCTCCACGTCTGTTCATACTAGGAGAAGTTTGAAAAGCATTGAAGTCTGCGTGATCATTGATGTCTAGTTGACTGAAGGTCGGAGTGATATTGTCGGTTTGATGGGTCTGTTTTTCAGCTCGAATTGTTTCTTCTACCTCACGCGCAGTGACTTGAATCGCTGGTGTAGATCGCAGTCGAGCATTCAATGTGTTATTCACGTTGGTAAAAGCATTACCCAGTCCAATTTGGTAGAGAACACCGGTGATCGAATCCTTAGTCCATTCAAAACCAGCTCTGTCCAGATCGGATATCTTCTGGTCGATTTTCCTGAAGTAGTCACCGATTTCAGAGACATCATCATACTTGATCTCCAGCACCTCTCTCCACGTAGCCATGTGACCGCTTCTACTTGGGAAGAAGAAGAGGCTCCTAATCGTACGTAAAGCGTCTTTAGCCGATCCAGAAAGGCGTCGTTGGATTTCGAAAGGTACGGCAAGTTCGATCATCGAGAATACAACACCGTCACCATCGGGGTCCGTGATCGACATGTTCTCTTTGTCAAGGTAATTCTGAACTTTTGTGACTCGATCAATACATCTCTTCATCTTGAACTCCCATTCAACGTAGTTAGATCCATCGGGTTTGAGTTCGCTAACACAACCTTTTACAAAACCCGGCAATTGAAGTTGGAACTTGTTGGAACGGTAGTCTTCTATAGAAGCGGTAGATGGGGCTGTGTGGGGTGGTGGCTGTCGAGTTCCAGGCGGAGCGCCTGTCGGTGTGTTCCCGGTATTCGACATCGCGGTAGCAGTATTCGGTGTAAGAGTATAAATTCTTTTGATTTCTAAACGGGTAGCTTCAGAATATTGTGAGATTCGAGGGTTAGGAGTGAAAATGAGACCTTTCGGAGCAGAGAAGGGAACTTGAGATAACGGTATAGGCAGAGGTTTAGTTTGACGATTATGAAAGTAAGATTGCGGGGGCGAATGAATAGAAAGAAGTGAGAAACGAAAAATAAAGTGTAATTTGTTGATAATAAGGGGAGGGTACAGAGAATCGGATGTAGGAGGGTATGTTGAACTAGTAATCGGTTTTGAACCGGGGTGATTCTTGAGTACTTCTGGATGACTTCTAATAAACTTAGGTAACTCTATCTCGCTATTCTGTAATACTTCTTCTTTAACTTTCACTTTCTTCGTATATTTTCGCTTTACAATTGTCTTCACTTCCCCGTAATCGTTTTTTCTCGTTTTCATGAAACTGTGACTATTGGCGTACACTCACCGCAGTGGCAGTGCGGGCTTATAACCTGTAGTGACAGAGACTCGGATGAGTACTCTGCGTCTCGCTCGATGTCCAAACTCCAATGGTATTGCATAAGAATGAGATGCTAACCTGTAGTGACAGAGACTCGGATGAGTACTCTGCGTCTCGCTCGATGTCCAAACTCCAATGGTGGAGAGCCGGAACATCGAGGAGCGATACAACTATAAGAGTGAGTCCCTAAACCTAAGCCCCGAGCTTTGTCGTAGGCGTGGCCCCGCTCTCTATGTCTAGCCCTATGGCCTCCGGCCATAACACTTTCTTCCAATAGTGCAATTTAACACAATAGAGTTCTTTTTTTACTGAACTCGGATCAAAGGGCTAGAGTGTGTTGCTGCTCGTTTACAAGTATTGAATTGATTTGAACTGAATCAAATCTTTACTCATACTGCTGGATGCAAGCGAAGTTGGTTCCAAGTTCCTCAATGATCATGTAGTCTCACAATCGATCCTACTCAAGGGTTCACACTGGATCTGAATCTGGAAAGATTGCCACAGGATTGATCAAAATCTCTTGTTTCTAACGATCAAAAACTCTTGTTTCTAAATTCACTTGCATCGATCTTTGTACAATTTGCTTTACTTTATCAAAATGTTGATTTGGAAACTTGTATAATGATTTGTACACAATATTGAGTTCTATTTGCTGAGAATCAGATCGTACCAAAAACAAAAAACATTGCTAACAATCAGATCGAGAACGTTCAAACTGTTCAAAACGTTCAAACTGTTCTTAAATTCACGATTTCAATTCTTGACTTTCACATCTGTATGGCTGTATTGAGTAAGACTGCCGATTTGATTGAGCTTTGGCTAGAGCGACCTGTGAGAACTGTCTTTGATGATTGGTGAGAGAATGGAGGGTTGATTTGAAGAAGATAAAAGTGAAGTAGATGGCTGAAGAGATCGATTGAGATCGATTGATAAGGCTGTATTGAGTAAGACTGCTGATTCGATCGAGCTTTGGCTAGAGCGACTGTGAGAACTATCTTTGATGGATGTTGATTTGAAGAAGATAAAAGTGAAGTAGATGGCTGAAGAGATTGATTGAGAGAGATTGATCAAGAGGGTGAGATTTGGATTCGATCGGGATTTGATGATAAAGCTAGGAACTAACTTCTCAATATCCAGCCTCATCCCCATCCTCGTCTTCAAAATCCTCCTCCTCCTCATAATCATAATCATAATCATAATCCTCTTCATCATCATCTTCGTAATCCTCGTCATCATCATCTTCGTAATCCTCGTCATCTTCGTAATTTTCCTCATCTTCATAATCCTCATCATTATCAAAGTGATAGTACTCCGGTGGTAAATCATAGCCACAACTGAAATACCAACGTGCTAATAATGTTGGAGTGACACATTCCTCGGCATGATCACGTATAACCATGTCTAAGTCTTCATCCGAGAGTTCAAGAATTCCGTTTCTTCTGAATCGAATCTTGATTACTGAAAAGAGCATCTCAATAGGGTTGAGTTCGGGGCAATAAGGTGGCAAATAAATGAGTCAAACACCTAGAAGCAACCCGTATGAAAGAGACAGGAGTCCAGTCAGTTAGGAACAGACATCACCCATTGAGCACGTACCTCGCTCTTCGCAAAGCTCTGCTATGCGACCACCATGATGAATTCTGGCATTGTCCATAACAAGGACACTGTTGACGGCAGGAAAAGGATTCATTGCAGGGAGCTTTTCGAGAAACAAGGTATTAGCAAAGAGGACATGTACAATAGAACAATCAAACTTACTAGCTGGAACTCGAGGAAAGTTTCAAATCGTTTTCGATCAATGCTACCCTCGCGGACCGTCATTGCAAGCATCCCATTCAATCCAATTGCGGGTAGAAGCGAATATCTCTTCGCATTAGTGCGTTTGATCCATCTAGTCACACGTTTCCCCGATGGTGAACGCCCAAAGACTCGCATTAGGTCCCTTTCACAGATAGCACTCTCGTCTTTGAAACAATGTCAGTTGAGCACATGTAAAGAGTGAGAGATGAGTTAAAACAACACACCTGTGAATACCAAGGCTTCGGCAGGGACATTTTCCATCTTCTCAATATAGCATGCACGCTTGTAAAAGTCTTTGCGAATATGTGACGTGTGAGCTTTCTTAAGAGTAAGGTGTAGTCGCTGATTGAGCTCGTTATGAATTGTTTCAAGGGACGGAAGTTTTCCATTTGAATCGTACAGTTGTTCGCGAATCTCGTCCAGAAACAGTTGGGGTTGCTCTGCTACCAACAAGGTGATAAACTCCTGATCCTCTTCATTCAGGCTTCTTGGTCGCCCACGTTGTTTGTAATCTCTCGGATTGCGAATCACTCGCATGGTTGACTCGTACAGGGCCATCCAGCGTTGGAAAGAGCGATGTGAGATGTTTTCCCCAAGTACGTCTCGAACGTGGTCCTCTGTGTGTCCTTCAAGGAGCAATCGAATGGCAATAGTCTTGATTGCTGCGCAGTATTTTCGGTAGACCATGGTTGAGGAGGGGGAATGTGGTGGTAATGGTGGATTGGATGGTGCCAGTGGATTACGGATGATCCAGCTTTCAAATCAGTCAGAGCCCACTTGGCATTTGGGGCTTCGGATATTTCTTGCGAGTATGCATACTCGCGCACATCCAGTTCACTTTTTTTTTTTGCTTTGGCACACTTTTAATGAAAAACGCTTAACCGCTGAGCTTGGGCCCCTAGCTCAAGAAAAAATTTGTGACAAGGTTTTTTAAAACTACTGTAGTTTACCCGAAAAAATCCATAGTACCGGTCCGCCATGCCTACCACTTGGCGATTCGACCTAAGGCCGTGATGCGAGGTCTTGAAGATACCATCATGTTGACTTTCTCAACCACATCATACACCTTGTAAAATCCAGCACAACTTCTTATGAATATATACGCATTGAATTGTGTCATGAAATCGTGCTCATTGAGCTCCATCAAGGTACTACTCTAATGTGTTTTACGACTGCACAATGAAACACGACCTGGGCAGAAATGACAAGACCGCTAGCTCGTAAGGATTCTGACTACCATAGGGGTAGTGGAGGTTACAATTCTGGGGCAAAGGACTGCCTTGCAGCAATACCTTCCAGATCAGTAGCTCCTTCCCAATCAACCGTTCAGGTAAAGAAGTCACACAAGAGCATTGATGCGAAGGAATTCTCAAGGAACAGTCAGGATGTCATCGCCATATTATACCTGTGACTAGGGCATCAGGACGGTGAAGCCTCCTAAAAACGTAAACCGTCAGAATATATCTTTCTTGTTGAGCGGACTTGGGTATAGAACTTCCATCGTCTGTGCGCACTCTTGGAAAGTACAATTAGCATTGCTAACGCTAGGCCCGAGGCCATCTCGGGCCAACATCTTCGGAGCTTTTCATCCCCAGTCAGGACTCCGGAGAGCTCCTATCAAGGCTCACAATGTAAAAGTTTTTAGTTCCCTATGTTTGCTGTGAATGGCTGTGAGCTTTACAGCATGTAATTGGCTTTTGAAAATCTTCACACTTGCAAGACTATGGATTTCTACCTTGACCTAGCCCTTTGCTCCTTGCTAGACCTTGGTGAGGGGGGGCAAGGGACTGTATCAAGTCTTTATTAATGTAAACTCCAGTGAAGGGTACATAGTGTAAGAAAAACTTTTACATTGTGTGCCTCAATAGAGCTCTCCGGGGTCCTCCCCAGTCCTTGGAGTGTCCACAGCCGTACCGTAGATTTGTTACAGACAGAGGGTTGAACATGTTGGTTAGGGCAGCTTGGGAGGTGTGAAAAAAACCATACACGGCTGCAGTTTCCTACATTAATGGTAGTAGCATTATTTAGCATCATTTTCTCATATGCTATGAGTGAGTGAGAATACTGCAGTTTTTGAAACAGACAACTGTTCTCAAGATCAATTGGAAATGATTGAGATTGACCAGAAATTATTGATCAATCAATAGGGAAAAATTACAAATTGTACAAACAAGACCCTCATAAGTAAAATTTACAACACTGCCACAGATGCACTACTGGTATTGGTATCTTTCAGTGTATTAGTTCTTTTGAAAGTATAGCCCAATACTTGATATCAAAAACAGATACTATACTCTCAGGTGACAAAATTCAATATCATGGAAATGGATACTGTATCTAGTACAGTATTGAATGTAGGTACTACAACACAACACCTGAAGTGCTCCGCTTTTGGACTATTTTTTTGCAGCGGGATGTTGCCCCGCTACATGTTGAACCCGCTGTTGCCCCGCTGCATGTTGAGACCCAATAAATGACTGGCCAAGTGGTGCGCTTGTTGGACCCGCTCTTTCCCTGCTTTCATCTTTTAAGGCAGCCGGCCGAGGCAAAGGGTACAGCATTTTTGAGAAACCTTGTCATGAATTTTTTGTTGAGCTGGGGGCCAAGTGTGGTGGTCAAGTCAATTCATAGGGGTGCCAGACCAGTGCTGTGTGGGCCTAGTATGATACAAAATCCTCCAATCCACCATCACCATCACATTCCCCTTTCCTCAGCAGCACACACTGAATCAAGGATGCTTGTGAGTTCAAATCTGATTCACAGCTATCTGATCAAGACTCTTGACATCTGACTGTGCTAGTCTGATGACAAACAACAGTTTTATATTCGGATATATCATTCTTTCTTATAAAAACTTCAATTGTCTTCACGTTATCAAAAAATCACTTTGGAAATTCATATGATATTGAGCTTTCTTTGCCAAGGCTGTACAGATAAATGTTTGAACTGTTTCTACATTCACTTCTATCAATCATGGTAAAAAGATCAGTTGTATATATCATCCTTGCTTACGGAAACTCATTTGTTTTTACTATGTCCAAAAATCACCTTAAAAATTAGTGCAGTATTGATATTTCTTTGCTAAAGTAAGATTGTACACAAATTTTTGGAACAAACAAGGCCTTTACAAGTGAGGTGTTTATTGATGATTTAAATTCTTTAAGATCAAAAATCAGATTTGCTAATGTTCTTTTCAAGAATAACTTTTTGCAAAGCTAAACTACGATTGTACAAAAAAATGTTTAGACAAGGTTTCCTCCAAGTAACCTGCTTATTGAGAATTTGAAGTCTTTAAGATCGGGAATGAAATTTCTTGAAATTGATTGTTCAATTTTGATGACATTTCTTGATTTAAATTTCTGTGATTAAGAGGTTGGTATTCAGTAGAGGTTTGTTGGAGTAAACCAATGATGATCAGGTTGATTGATTTCTTGACTTTCATCAATCAATTGATATTGAATGCTTCATATGTTACTCTGGAAGGCATGATGTGATGACCAGAGGGATTTCAGGAAAGGATTGGGGTTAATTGGGTTAGTTTGGCCTTTGAAGATTAGATCAAGGGTTGAAAAGAACTTACCAGATATGATTTAGGTCATCCAAAAGTGCTGGGGCAGTGATGATTATTGTGTGTCAAGGACTTGGCTTGTGGAAAAGTGGAGAGTATGGTACTTTGCAGGGGTTGGAAGCGTATTTGTTATTGTACAATGTATCCATGTTGGTTCACAGGCGGCCAATCTCAATATGAGAGATCTATAGAGTGTTGGCTGTCAATACTTTCATAATATGCTACATGCCGCTCTGGGCAAGGGCTGCGGGGCGTGAATGTAAATCACCCGGCTAACTTAAAAACCTGCTACAACCCCAATATTAGGGGTTGAGCGGTGGCGGGACACTTTGACCTGCTACAAAAAAATCCCTGAGCAATAGTGGGGCAACCCGCCCCGCTGCCGCTTTTTGCAGCGGATCACTTCAGGTGTTGCTACATATACTTGATCAGTATCAGCTTGAAATAGTATTGGGTATCCGAGGGTATTTGGGGTAAATGATTATGAGGATAATTACCCTTCTCTTACTTAGGTGTGTACTTTTGTCATAGTTGATTATTCTATGATGTTGTCTTCATCTTTTTCATTATGTCATGACATCATCTTTCTACTTCCTTATCAATCTATTTGGTTGTACCATGGTTCTACAAGAAGCCTTTTGTATAAGAATGAATGTCTCTCTCATACTTTATGTCTTCCTTTCTCATTCATTCTTATCCTTGTCTTTCTTGTACCATCAGGTACTGCTGCTTTCTTGTACACTCCTGCTCTCTAATACTTACTGAGATCATTTTGTGTTTCTCTCAAGGTTTGTTTTCTCTATGTAGTAGGGTGATGATAAAGCAATTAATTCTTATCCATGTCTTTCTCATACTATCAGATACTTCTGCTTTCTCATACACTCCTGCTCTCTAAGACTTACTGAGATCATTTTGTGTTTCTCTGAAGGTACTTCTGCTTTCTCATACACTCCTGCTCCCTGAGACTTGCTGAGATCATCTTGTGTTTCTCTAAAGCTGGTACTCTTATCATACTATAACGGGACCTGAAGATTTTGGGTATCCTGGTTTTCAATACCATATCTAGTATAGTACTGTAAGAAAATTCTATACTCAATACACTTGCTGTTTGAAGTATTGCAAATGCAATACTATACTTATAGGATTTGTGGCAGCCTTGGTAAAATGACACATTTTAACCAAAAACTTAATCCCTCCATAGATTGAACAACATGAGTACTCTCTGTCCTGAATTCAACTACTTTAGCTAAGTTTGACTTTGCATTATAACTTTGTGATAGATTTGTGCAAGAATCTGAAGATCAATCAATTAATCTCAGCAACATAATTTCTCCTATCTCTCACTAATTCCTTTGATATCAGCTAACAACACTTGCTTTGTCAATTGAACACCAACATTTGTCCTAACTAGAGACTATGCGGGCATGCCCGCACCAATCCAATTGCAAAATTCCTTAAAACCTCTAAATACCACAGTGTACCACGTCTTTGGCAAAGTGACCTAAATTCTAAATATCATACAACATAGAGTCAATTGGCTGATCACAAGGACCTCATTTGTCAGCTGTTTCATATTAGGTATTTTTGAGTCCAAAGAAAACATTGTTCCAATGTTGTATTTCAAACATAAATGGACAAATATCTCATCATGCTCACAAGCAGTTCAACGTGACATGTTGATGCACACAATTTGTATATGGTATCATTCAACTTTCAAAATAATTTCAACCAATACTATCATAACAATATACTCATAGTCAATCTCCTTGATGATCAACACCCGACTTAGGTGTTGATCATAGTTGTCAACCTCAATTCCAACTTCCCCATAAGTATAAAAGTTAAAATTTGAGTCAGTTGGGCCCAATTACAAGTTTGATATCTTCAGGTGATGCATTTTAATGTAAAACTTATACTTTGCTTCAATTTGCTGATTCACAATAGTAGCAGTTAAATATCTTGAATAGAAGCCGCCGTGGGTTTCTGAAACAGATTAGTATGTCTTATTGTAACCAAGTACAATGACAGATACCAATCATCTCTAAAGATGATTATTTTCCCCAATCTATCTACAAAAGTGTTGTGCACAAGTTTTGCATAACTCAGGTACTCTTGATCTGAAATACAAAGTAGCACATAGAATCACCGCAAGCACCCTGAACTTGAAAGGAATATAGTGATTGGACTCCCCCAAGATGACAAAGTTTACTTCCAGACCTGGTCTCACAATAGCAACATTTCATATTGCCACTCCATCACATTTGTATTTTTGTTCAAACTCTCAAAAACCATCTCATAACATCATTGTGTGCGTAAAAACATCCCAAATACCCTGAAGATGAAGGAAATATGGTCTTTGAAGGCCCCTAGAAAGCTAAACTGGCTTTTAGACACAGTCTCATTGTACCACTTTTTCCAGATAACCCTTCCATCATCTTCAAATTCATGATTAAAACCTTAAAAAACATGTTGTGCTCCCACTTCACGACCCACAAACTCACTGATTGTTTGTGCATATGAAGTCAGTACTATTGTAGTCATTCATTATCCTCTAAATGAAATCCATTGCTTCTCTATGAAACTTTCATGTAGCTCATGTTCATCATCTTGATATTCACGCTCAAACCCTCAAAAATACCCCTGTCTGACACCCTCAAGCCTTGAACAGCACAAAAATTTGTAATGATGAGCATATGAGTGCAAGCAGCACATTTTCCTTTCAATTTCAAATGATTCCCCGTACCTTCTTTGTCCAAACCTTACTCTTGAGCCCACACAATACCACTTCTGAACTTATCTGCTCCCTTGTACCTTTCATTTAAATAAAGAAACAATGGGGTGTTTCAAGGCAAATTAAGTTCTTAAGCTCTTCAATCTCTAAACCTTCAATCATTCAGGTGTTTTGCGTTATAAGTGAAATAGTCACAAAATATCTGATAAATGAGGAAGATGAAGGAAATTACAGCACAAATTTGCCACAATTAAAGGCAACACATCATACATCTGGCTGAGTTAGTTTATTGATTATTCAGACTTGAAAGATGAATCACACAATAAGATCCCTCTCCACATTTGTGTCTTGTTGCATTGCTTCAAGTTTGTTCTTCTGTCTTCTAAAGTCAAACCTATCAACTATATGAGGAAGCCTTTCAAGATTCAAAGGACTTCAATCAAATCATGAGTTGTTGGCTTCCCTTTTCAAAATGACTTTCAATCATCAGTTTGATTGCTCTCTTTCATGATAATCTGCAATGGTCCAGAAGAAACAGAAGTCTAATCCATTTTTTTTAACCAAACAAACTCAGTACAAATCAATTGAAGGCCAGTTGTGAGATACATTATACATATCACAATCAAGAAAACAAATGAAACAGTTTGACTTTGTGGTATGTATTAAGGGTTCTGAATTGGGAACTACACAAGATCTTAACACAAATTGGATGAGATGCTCTGAATCCACCATCAAGTCCATCGTGAGCAGAAGTCTCCATCAAATCACATTCCACTCAGTATGAGTCATGAGATTCAGTTAGTCCCTTCAGGGCAGATCTAGTTCACCATTTGATCAATTTCAAATGAAGGTCAAAAAGGTTGAAATTGGACTTCATTCAGATTTTGTTTGATCAGTTTGACCAGTTGAACTCATAGTGTATATTATCAACACTGCACAATAATCGTTCCATCAAAACTGTATTCAATTTCAGTTTTATTGATCCGTCTGATGAGCTTTTATATGTTTGTGATACTTGCAAATCGAGTATTTGGTTGAATCCTGGTCAAATTGAGTCGTTGAATCAAGAAGTTGATAAGTCATTGGGCTGAGTTTGAGTTGAAGGGTAGAGAAAATGGAAAAAGATGTGTAGGGTTAAAATTTGATGAGAGATTTCTTGTGGATTAGAAAGTGATTCGTCTCGCAGGGGATTAGTAACCTTTCTTTTATAAGCCGAGGACTGAGTCCAACAAAAGACCGGATTCAATAGCTTGTTTTAATACAATTTTTGTTTAAAAGTCTGGTGGTAAACGCGAATCAAAAGACAAGGTGAGACAAACAATAGTGTGTAAATAACAAAAGGAGACAAAAGGAGCGATTGAAAACATCTTGACTACAAAAGCTCACCAATGGAGACATCAGACAAAAAGGGAATAGCACCTGATACCCGGAGGCGGACCTGATCAACAGAGGAGAGGAGAGGTCCGAACTCATGCAAGTGGTCCATCTTTTTAGTATTTAGATTTCACTTGGGTTTGAATCCATGATGAGAACATGTGGATTGTGCTTGAAAATACATGGTTGAAAAAGGTGTGGTTGATTAAAAAAGATGTGTTTAAGCAAAAACCTTGGATTAACTAGACAACATGGTTGTGCAAAAGTACAATTGAGTCTAGTGTTTATCCTAGTTGGAAATGAAACTGTAGTTAGATATATGGCAATGTGGTTTTGAAATCATGGGAGAAGCAAGGTACAGCAGGATTTGGGGTGCAAGCCAAAATAGAACATCTCTGGCCTATTTTGGCTTGCAAATAGAGAAATACCTAATCTAAGTAAGTGATTGTCATTGAGGATGACAGCTGTGCATGAGACTACCCAAAATTTCTTTATGTCATGGATTACGGCATACAGCTGTGGATGCTTTTATGGAACTCTACAGGTGCCTTTGTGCCTTTGGGAACCTTTAACATGTAATTTAGGTTGCAGTTGGTATGAGTGCCCATGTGATGTCAAACCCACAAATGAATATGTATACACAGGGAGGTATCCTACAAATCTTTTGCCTGAATGTAGGGCTGGATGCAGTGGATTTCAAAGTGTAACATCCATGTGAATTGCAAATTGGACCAAAAAGAGGCAAGTGCCAATCTATCTACTATGATAATAACAGAACATGGTCTTTGTTCAAAACAATAACCACACCTTGCAAGGCCTTCTAGGCACCTAAGTCTACCTAAGTCTTGCCTCATTGCCATACTACGCATGCCCAATTTCCAACTGATTCGCATTGTTCCTCCGCAAAGTTGGAGATTGGAAATGCCTTGTGATGTCTGCTCTTGTCTGCTTCTGACTTGTTCTACGGCTCTCCTGGCGTCACCGGTGCCTGGTGGGATTGTTGTGTGAGACTTCTATTTTGGCTGAATGTGTTATGTATGTAGTCACATTCAACCAAGCATACGAGAGAGTGATGATTGTCGCACCCCGCTTCTTTCGGTGGGCCACGTTCAATCACTTCTCTGGCGCCCACCTACAATGTATAAAATAGCCTCGCTCCCTCAAAGTTACAATCTTCACCCTCGACCTTGAAAGTTCCACAGACTCCGTTTGCCTCAATTCGCCACCCGAGTTTCTTGATTTCAAAAGTGGAATTCTTGAATTTCCACCTTTCAAAACTATACCACTATATTGAGGTAGCCTATCGAACTCTTCGAGGGCTACAAGTCGTCAATACCTCAAATCCAATCAACGATGGTTCGAAGCACTCTTCTCCCAGTTTCACTTTTGTGTCTACTTTCCTGCCATACGATGCTAGTTTCTGGCTTCATCATCCACTTACGCGAAGGAGACCTCTGGGAGTAAGTGGTCCACAAAATCATATTCAAATATGCTGTAGATATATTCGGCGATCAAACTCATTCTGTGATTTCATGCAGCCTATCCGATACCTTGACGGTAAAGTGGTCAAAGTTCTTCTGGGATACAGAAACCTTTGATATTCAAATCAGGAATAAAGACCCCGAGTGAGTTCTCGCGCCAATAGTTTCTTTTCTAGCTCATCCACTCACCCACCTCCCTTATCTGTCTTCTCACTAGGCTTTATCCGATGGGATTTTCACAAGTCCTGAGAAAAGACGTTCACGCTTCCGATAGATTGTGTAGTCTGGCTGCAGTCCCTGAATTGAAAGCCGGTCCAGGTTTTTATCTAGAGTTCATCGATCAGGTAAGCCCTTTGCGTATTTCGTATCACTTTTAAGTCGCCAGCACATGCTAAGAAATTTGAATCCTTTACTGATAGAATCAGAGAATTTTGGCTCGGTCTGACAAGATCAAAATTACACAAATTGAAAATGATTGGGACGACGTTTTGGACTTGGACAATGAAGACTCAATTTTTGAAGATTCCGATACTGATTTATCTCTCGACTTGAGTTCGAATTCAAATGAAGAAGTAGACTCATATCAAGAGTCTTCTGCAAAACTACATAGTGGGAGTTATATTTACCAAAGAGTTTTCAGGAATTCCTTCCAGATCTGATTGCCAATCAGCCTTTTGATTGTCGACTCAAAGTCTGATTGTCTGACTTGTGTATATTACCTGACTTGTTTCTTGATCCTTCATATTATTTATTATTGGGTGTTCACGTTTTTTTTCTCTTTCATAAGCTGTGAATCTATATGGCCAGTAGTCATGTGTATGCAAAGAATTATCAGACTTGTATATATCCTTGATCTCTTGACTGTTATTATGTAATAAAGGATGTTCGCAATTTGGTTCTCTTTCATAAGCTGTGCATTCAAATGGTCAGATATGTGTATGCAAAGTATGCTCAATAAACATTATGCCGTGTTGTCAAATCTGAACTTCCTGATTACTGGCCAAATCATATTTCATGAAAGCTGATTGTGGTAACATCGACCTTTGTCTGAGCATATGTATCGTCTTGATACTTCTTCAGAACCCTGCAAATATAATAATGATCAAAGTGAACGTGCTTAGCATGAAACATCTTGAAGACCATATCCTTGCTGTTTAGAGCTCGTAAGGTCAGTTAAAGGCATAATGATTCTCATCAGATGGCTCTGGTGAATACATGGGCATGACCCAGGCTCAAGTCACTCCTCAACCATAGCTGGTTCTATGTTGTGATTAGAAAAACCATGGTATTGTTTGTTACTGCTGTTGTGACAACAGAATTCAAGATACTCAGAGGCAGAACATGCATCTTTTGTTTTGTTGATCAAGGCTGAAAGGATCTCGATAGAGCAATATTATGTGATCACCCAGAGGGGTGAGCCATTGAGCAGTGATGTAGACTATGTAGCAGGGATTCAGGTGTGGGTATGAGTCCACTCAACTCGTACCCATTTACAAGGGGCTTGGTCCCCGTTGCTGAGTACCCAGTATTCAGTGGTCCCTGACTGAGTTGTACAGCGGAACTGTATAACTCACATGACCGTATGTATGAGTAACACATACTCAAGTGCCCTGCCTCCCATGAGCCCTCGGACTCACACTATCCCACTTCCAGCACGCACCTTGTTTGGATGAGTACCTCACCCAAACAAGGTGGACTAGGATATCCCATTTCAACATCTTTGTTATCTAATATCCCAACTCCACCTCCCCATTATTCAAGCCTCCATCTCCCTAATCGATCTGGATTTCTTAATTCCAAAGTCTTTCAATTGAAATATAGACCCAACAGCACCGATTCCGTTGTGGCTTCAACTTCACGTTTGATCTGGCACGATTGGAAATGGGCCACCTTGAGATCTGGCTACCGGCGCTCACGTGGGTCAACTCCGATATCATGAAGGATCTCGGAGCCCTCGAGTGGAAATTTGACAACCGGTGAGGTTTTTCTTTTTAAAAGTGTTTTAAAAAGGTCATCATTGAGTAGCCTCAGGTTTTTCAAGGCTAATCATTATTGTCTTTCTGCTTTCTGTTTTTTGGTCACCTTCCCTTCCTACGTTTCTTTCGAAGACCTACCGACTTCCTTTGTCACATCATGCCTAGGTTCCCTGCTCAACCTCCTCCCAAAGGCACACCCTACGCTCGTCGCACTACCCAAACCACATTGGTCGGAGTCAACAACTCACCCCGTGTGGCCTCTACACCTTGAGTTGCATCAAATCCTCGTCCGGCTCAAACCTCTAGTCGTCCTGGTAGTGGCTCTGGAACTCCTGGTCAGGCCAAATCTTGGGGACCTAAGTCATACGTGATACAAGACGAACCCGATGAAAACGAATTCGCCGGCAAGAACGTGTTGCGTGCCAACAGACACCGTTTGGACGTGTATCTTTACTTCGATGTGAGTCCAGCTAGCGTTCAATGTTTGGGCGGTTATGCCTATGTTTTGGATGGTGGGAACTAATTCTAGCTTTGCTCTTGCTTAGGAACCACGACCTCACCAAGAAACTGGCAAAGGTGATACCATGGTGTACCCCTGCTTACACTGTCCGTACGTAAAGGATTTTCTTCTCTTCTGTTACATATATAACATTGTTCCAATCACTGACTTTTGGTGTTGGTCAATTCAGTACGGAGTGTTCCATTGTTGGTAGACCAAACTCAAACCTTCACAAACATCGCCGCATTTGCCCTGGATTGCCCTCAGCTTGGTTCCGTCGCGCACCGGGTAGCATCCCACCCGAAGAGGACCCTGTCATCGCTGCTGCTCGTAAGAAAGAGCTTAGGTCTTTGCTGATTGGCGCGGTAATCAGCAAAAATCTTCCGTTTTCCATCTTCGAGGGTGACTTGATGCAGTCTGCCCTGCGTGCGATTAGCCCTTCGTTTTATTGGCCTGGTCGCATGGGGATCAAAGCGGACGCCGAATCCTTATTCAAAGATCTGGAGCAAAAGCTCATGGAAGAGATAGCTCAAGTCCCCGGTGTGGTATCAACGGCGACTGATTGTTGGACAAGCCCCGATTTCTCTCACACCTACCTAGCCATCAACAGTTTCTTTTTCAACGCCGAGGGACAGTTCTGTCGCCGACTGCTAGCTTTCAAGGTGAGCCATTTTTATCTAATCTCTCATTTAAAACGTGTGTTGACGCTCCTTTTGATTTCTTCAGAAATTGGAGGGAAAACACACCGCCGAAAATCTGACGAAGGTTTATTGGGATGCCCTGGAGCACATGAGGGTCCATAACCACTTCGCGATGACTGCTGATAACGCTTCGTCCAACCGAGCAATGGCCCGCCTTTTATCGGACCGATACGCGCGAAAGACTGTTCATTGGCCACACGAACATCGTTTTCATGGGTGTCTTTGCCACGTGATCAACTTGGTAGCAAAAGACTTTCTTGAAGGGATCGGTGAACTGACTGAGGCAGACGTGGAAGCCTTTGAAACCTCTGGACTAGCTGAAACTCGTTATTCTTTCGAACCCGACGAACTCCCCTGGACCGATGAGGACCCTCACGATGACTCGCCATCCAGCCCGGCGCCTGAGACTGACACCAACATGGAAGATGCTTCGCCGGTTGTTCACGGAGG